AAAAAAAAACAACAACAACAACAACAACAACAAAAAAAAACAATAAAATGTATGTCGTCTAAATATTAGATAATAAATAAAATGAAATGTAAATGTATTGCTGGTATAGGTTTATCAAGTAACTTGAGCGCATTTATACCAAAAACACTCCTCACGCCTATATACGTAATCTGTGTACAGCAACCATCCTTTTTGTGGCTTTCAGCTCATTGCTTATGGAGACATTCACCCTTCTCTCAGTCAACGGAACTCGCAAAATTTTTCTGTAACATTTGCCCTACAACGCTGTGTGCACTTCGTGTCACACTGTTTGATTATCCAGAACCCGCAGCAAAAGCTGGCTCTCGGGAATTTTGAACTATAAGCCTTCATCCTTAAATAACCCCTCCCCCCCTAAATATGCTCAGTAGTTTTATTGGTGGTAGTTGACCGCAAAATACGAGAGCGTACAGAAACAATACCATCTTTATTCGAATAAAAACATGCCCTGTCCCCAATCTATTTGCTAACAATTTTTTTTCGCAATTGTCGCAAAAGAAATAATTGAGGAGAAATTATGTCAGAAAATCACTTACAAATATGGCAAAAATCGTAAGAATAACAAATCCAACAAGAATGAAGACTTTGAAAGAAAAGAAGCCAAGAAGGGCCACGAAATGTCCGAAAATATCGCAAAAATCGCAAAAATAACAAATCTAACAAGAATCAAGACTTAGAAAAAGAAGAAGCCAAGAAGGGCCCCGAAATGTCCGAAAATATCGCAAAAGTCGCAAAAGTAACAAGGATTTTTCTTGCGAGCTAAAAACTCCCTTGACAAATATCGCAAAGATCGCAAAAATAACAAATGTAACAAAATTCTATATAGACTTAGAAAAAGGAGAAACCAAGAAGGGTCCCGAAACGTCCGCAAATATCGCAAAAGTAACAAGGATTTTTCTTGCTAGCTGAAAACATCCATGACAAATATCGCTTGTTACTTTCGGCAATCCCTGTTTAAAAAACTATGGGTATTGCACTGCAACATTTATGTATAATGCGAGGATCTTATGACCCGTTTTCTTTTCCCCCCAATCTGCCATTCTTGATATTTTGGAATGATCGTTATGGTGGGTTCTTAGCCATGAAAAGTTCTGCTACCACCCCCTTTTATTGCTTAAAATTTGCACCCTTCTGTGAGCGACACTCCTTTCTATGCATTGTAGCTTTATGTTGATGGAAAAACGAAGCATACACAGATTGATATCACAGTATTATGCTACTGTCAGTAATTATAAATGGTGTCACGTTTGTAACTGATGATTTCATTTTCGCGAAAATGGAACGCATTACAAAACTGGACAAGAACGTATTCCTGTTGAGATAACCATTAGTATTAGGCAAAAACAGTGATGCGCGGGTGTTCTTGGCTCCTTTCTTGCCCGTCAACAATAATTCTTTCCTATTCTTGTTACTCTAGCCAATTTGTGGTATTTTGCCATATTTCGAGGCTCTCCTTGCCCTTTTCTCTTTGTAAGTGTTGAATTTTGTGAAATTTGTTATTCTTGTTATTTTTGCCATATTTGTTGCCCAATCTTTTCACATAGGATGAAAAATTCTTGTTACTTTTGCGATTTTTGCGAAATTTTGGGACTTACTAAAGCCCTTCTTGACCTTTTCTGTTTCCAAGTGTAGAATTTTGTGAAATTTGTTGTTCTTGCTATTTTTGCCATATTTGTTGCTCAATCTTTTCACACAGGAAGAAAAATTCTTGTTAGTTTTGCGATTTTTGCGAAATTTGTGGACATCTCAAAGCCCTTCTTGACCTTTTCTCTTTCTAAGTGTAGCATTTTGTGAAATTTGTTATTCTTGCTATTTTTGCCATATTTGTTGCTCCATCTTTTCACGTAGCAGGAAAAATTCTTGTTACTTTTGCGATTTTTTCAAAAGTGTAGATATTTTGTGAAATTCCGAATTTCAGGTACTGAATTCTCGATTCTATCTTAGTGAAACTTGGACTCCGGATCTCAATTGTCAGCGGAATTCCGGATTCCAAAGCCCAGGATTCCATATTTCACGTCAAAATTTCTCAGATTCCGGAATCCAATTTACCTTACATGAGGCTACATACACTGCTTTGCGACAACATACAGTTTTTACAATAATTACAATAAATCTAGAAATTCTCGAGCGCTCATTGGTCGGAACTTACTTTCTAAAACTATATTTAGACTGAAAGCAAGGGAAAATAATATTTCTTCGGTTCTTGAATAAATTTGACAAAACCTCCGCTTTCGTCTCGTGGCCTATTGCCACCAGCTGAAAGTGTTAAGATAGAATCCATTAAGAAATTAAATAATTTTAATTTTCAGAGGGCTCCAATAAGAACCTTTTCTTCGGAGTTATTTCATACAACTTATTACATTTATAGCCCTTGAAAAGTGTGAAAAAGAATGCAATATGCTTGAAGTTATTCTGGTAAAAGGTTTCTGTCCACTGAAAATTAAAATTTCTCAATTTCTTAATGGATTTTGTCTTAAGGTAAACATAAAACAGTTTTGAGAAATGAAACTGAATGAAATCTGTTTAAGTTGTTCTATTAAATTCGTCTTTACTTTTTAGGTTTTTTCCCTGATTAAAGTTTGTTAATAGTCATAACGCACTATTTTCATGCTTTTTAAACGACTTCTTTCCACATCTAGTGACCATCATTTTGCAAACTTTACAGTGAGAATGATTTTTTCTTTTCTTTAACTTATATTGGCCTTAGCTTTTCTTTGAAAACCTTTTTGGACCATTTATTTATTGACTCATGTAAATTGCTTTCAACGTTTGCTTCTTCAAATCTCTTGCTGAAATCGTTGATTTTGTCATTCACACAAGAATTCTCTACACTGCAGCAGGCAGTCAGGCGTTTCCAACTGCTGTATATTTATTTTTCTTCTTCTCTCTACAGCCAGCGTTAATCATTCACATCACACAGGTACTTCAATCACACCTGCCACGAACCCTAGGAAATAAATAACACAACTTATTTTTTGTCATGGTTT